TCTTCTAATAATTTGTTGAACTTTTTGATTTGACTATTTTTTGACTTTTTGAAAGTTGCTGATTTGGCACTGCTAGAGGACTGCGTTATAAGATCATAATCTGTACTGGTAACTATTCCTTTTATCTTTTGTTTTAATTGCTCAATTTCAGATCTGATATGTTGCAACTTTTTTACGATTCTGTGGATTTCTTCTTTCAGGCATAATTTTTGTAGGCCTTCTATTCTGCTTCTAACTCTGTCCGTTGGAACTGGAGCTCGTAGACGTAGATATTTAGGAATGATTTCATTTTTTTGGCATCGAATGTTGAAAATACGGTGATTTTCATATCTTGCTTCAGTTTGTGAAAGTCGAGTGAGTTTATTGATAAGTCTTCGTACAGGAAGACCATAAGTCATATTAATATATGTGTAAAACTTGGGCACTGTGGTAGTAAGTAATTCCATATTAGTTTGTTTATTAGGTATATCACACAGTGAAACAGTATTATTTACTGGATGACGTTTCGAACAAAATTTATTGTTCATAATCATATCAATTGTGATCACACGACTTTGACACTTGAGTTTTATAGCTTTCTTTGTTTTCTCCTATTTGTCGTAGGGGGAGTAGAATTTTCCAGATATCGGGGACAGGTGATGAATCATTCCTATTACATGTATTTGCAGTTGATTCGATAAACAAAGCTTCTGTTATCAATCTCTCCCTATACCCTGTGACATTAGATTTTAAAACTGTCATCCTATCCCATCCTATTGTATGGTTGTGTGTGACTGCATGTAGTGCTATAGCTGAACTATTCTCTAGATTACTTATTTTATTCGGGTCAACCAATCTAGATTTTGCTAAGTTTTTATGTTCAGCTAGTCTGACTGCCCCTGTTCTACTAGTTTGACCTATGTATTTGACCTGACAATCATTGCAGGGTATTAGATAAATTAAATTGCTTTGTTTTAAAGGCTCTACAGGATCCTTTAGCCGACAAAGCTTGTTTCTAATTGAGTTTGTGGGTTTGAATGCCGTTTTTATTCCTGCCTTGTTTAGAATTCTGCGTAAGGCTTCCGAGGTTCCTTCTTTGTATGGAATTACTACTGATGATTTAGACTCTTTATTGTTGGTGTCGTTATCAATATTATTATTATTGTCACTATTATCATTATCATTATTATTGTTATTATCACTATCGCTATTACCATTATTTATTTTATTTTTACATTTCCTTACATATTTCCTGACTAATTTATCCGGGTAATTATTAAGTTTCAAGGCTTCTTTTATATGTATCAGTTCTTGGTTTAGATTTTCTTTGGTACTACTTAATTTTTGTGCTCTGTTATTTAAACATTTCACCAATCCTACTTTTACTGACATAGGATGGGATGATTGGAAGTCTAAATATCTGTTTGAGTGTGTGGGTTTCCTGTAAACACTAGTGTTTAACTTCCCATCTTCTTTCCTCTTTACGTTGCATTCTAACATTGGGAGTTCCCCTTCCTGATTTTCCAATTCATAAGTGAATTGAATTGCCTCAACCTTCGAGTTTATGTGTTCGAAAAACCTATCTATATCTTGTGTTCTAAGTACAGTGAATGTGTCATCTACGTACCTCCACCATACTTTTGGGGTGGGGGTGAACGTTTCGATCGCTATGCTTTCCCACTTATTCATGAATATATCTGCTACCACTGGGGATATTGGTGATCCCATGGCAACTCCCTCAGTTTGTTTGTATATTTTCCCTTGGAATTTAAATACTGTGGAAGTCAGGCATAGTTGTACTCCCAGCATTATGTCCTCAAGTGGCACTTTTGTCCTAAGTTCGAGGTCTTGGTCAGAAATGAGTTCGTTTCTGACTGCCTCTATAGCCATATTTATTGGTATACGTGTGTATAAACTGACAATATCAAAACTAACCATTTTTTTTCCTCATTATCTAATTTTAAATTATCTAATCTATGTTTTAGTTCATAAGAATTAGTTAGTCTAGATTTCGAGTGATGAAGTACGGGCACAATGTGCACTAACATTTAAACGACAAAAATGTGGAAAACCTAACCTGACAAAACAAGAGATAGAAGCCTTGAAACTCCTTAAGAATAACAAGGATATAGTTATCACAAAGTCAGACAAAGGAAATGCAACAGTGGTATTAGACAAATCAGACTATTTGGACAAGGTAAATACTCACATACAAACAGGACCATATGAGGAAATTAATAAACCAATAGATACAGTTATGAATAAAGTTAAGAAATCCACAGCGGATCTTATACGCCGAATGAAGCCGTTTCTAGGTGAGTCTAAGTGGTTTAATTTAATGCCCAAAACTAATAATCCCAGTAGGATGTATGGTGTTGTTAAAGTTCATAAGTCAGGATACCCTATTAGGCCTATAGTTGATTTTAGAAATTCACCTACTTATGAATTATCTAAATATTTAGCCATGGTATTAAATCCCTTAAAAATCCACTCGAAATCTAGACTAACTAATTCTTATGAACTAAAACATAGATTAGATAATTTAAAATTAGATAATGAGGAAAAAAAATGGTTAGTTTTGTTATTGTCAGTTTATACACACGTATACCAATAAATATGGCTATAGAGGCAGTCAGAAACGAACTCATTTCTGACCAAGACCTCGAACTTAGGACAAAAGTGCCACTTGAGGACATAATGCTGGGAGTACAACTATGCCTGACTTCCACAGTATTTAAATTCCAAGGGAAAATATACAAACAAACTGAGGGAGTTGCCATGGGATCACCAATATCCCCAGTGGTAGCAGATATATTCATGAATAAGTGGGAAAGCATAGCGATCGAAACGTTCACCCCCCACCCCAAAAGTATGGTGGAGGTACGTAGATGACACATTCACTGTACTTAGAACACAAGATATAGATAGGTTTTTCGAACACATAAACTCGAAGGTTGAGGCAATTCAATTCACTTATGAATTGGAAAATCAGGAAGGGGAACTCCCAATGTTAGAATGCAACGTAAAGAGGAAAGAAGATGGGAAGTTAAACACTAGTGTTTACAGGAAACCCACACACTCAAACAGATATTTGGACTTCCAATCATCCCATCCTATGTCAGTAAAAGTAGGATTGGTGAAATGTTTAAATAACAGAGCACAAAAATTAAGTAGTACCAAAGAAAATCTAAACCAAGAACTGATACATATAAAAGAAGCCTTGAAACTTAATAATTACCCGGATAAATTAGTCAGGAAATATGTAAGGAAATGTAAAAATAAAATAAATAATGGTAATAGCGATAGTGATAATAACAATAATAATGATAATGATAATAGTGACAATAATAATAATATTGATAACGACACCAACAATAAAGAGTCTAAATCATCAGTAGTAATTCCATACAAAGAAGGAACCTCGGAAGCCTTACGCAGAATTCTAAACAAGGCAGGAATAAAAACGGCATTCAAACCCACAAACTCAATTAGAAACAAGCTTTGTCGGCTAAAGGATCCTGTAGAGCCTTTAAAACAAAGCAATTTAATTTATCTAATACCCTGCAATGATTGTCAGGTCAAATACATAGGTCAAACTAGTAGAACAGGGGCAGTCAGACTAGCTGAACATAAAAACTTAGCAAAATCTAGATTGGTTGACCCGAATAAAATAAGTAATCTAGAGAATAGTTCAGCTATAGCACTACATGCAGTCACACACAACCATACAATAGGATGGGATAGGATGACAGTTTTAAAATCTAATGTCACAGGGTATAGGGAGAGATTGATAACAGAAGCTTTGTTTATCGAATCAACTGCAAATACATGTAATAGGAATGATTCATCACCTGTCCCCGATATCTGGAAAATTCTACTCCCCCTACGACAAATAGGAGAAAACAAAGAAAGCTATAAAACTCAAGTGTCAAAGTCGTGTGATCACAATTGATATGATTATGAACAATAAATTTTGTTCGAAACGTCATCCAGTAAATAATACTGTTTCACTGTGTGATATACCTAATAAACAAACTAATATGGAATTAGTCGA